CTGTCTCTCTCTCACTCTGTCTGTCCGTCTCTCTCTCTCTCTCTCTCTCTCTCTCTCTCTCTCTCTCTCTCTCTCTCTCTCTCTCTCTCTCTCTCTCTCTCTCTCTCTCTCTCTCTCTCTCTCTCTCTTTCTCTATCCTCTGCTCTCTCTTTTTCTATTTCCCTATTTCTCATTGTCTTTGCCTCTTTTTTTCTCCTTCCTTCTCTCTCTTTATCATTCTATCTCTTTCTATTTTTCTCTCTCTTTTGTTCTTGTTCTTTCTCGTTTCAAAGTAATAGATTTAAGACTATTATTGTGTGTAGTTGTACGGTAAGTTTAACTTTTTTCTTTATACCTCTCTTGATTCCATAGGAATAACAATAGAAAGAACCAGATAACTGTAATTAACTAAAATATGCACATTTTTATAGAATATAAAAGCACTATATATATTTATATTGTATGAAAGAGTATTGGATGTGTTACTTATCTTATTAGTCCAAATGCAGGGTGTCCAACTCTATAATTGGAGTCGTGATAGTTGTTCTCTTGCTCATATATATTTCTGATTTTGAGATTGGATGCTCTTGAGGTATTAGTTTAATTGACGGGTTAATATCAGTTATTAGCTTCTATTTTCACAACTAAAATTTTATTTCTTTTTTGAAATATACTTCATCTTTGGATCTTCATCAGTATATGATCAAACATAAAGTGAGTATGAATGAGACAGATATGTGCTGCTGACAAAGATGAGTTATAATATTGTTTGGTGTGAAGTAGCTTACAGTATTAGTTTTTAATGCATGAATTTATTCCAATATTTTTCTTTGAAGTAGATAAAAGTATAAAGTATGTAAACATATACACTTGGTAAATGAAAGAAGAGTAGTAACATGATGATATTCTGCACCATATGACTTATGTATGGCTTTTGAGAAGACTTTGAGATTGAATTTAACCCAAGATAGCTTGGACACTATTTTACAGGTGTATTTTTAAGTTGAGATTAGTATAAGAAGTTAACTTTTGTATTTCCTCAGAATGGACCCCCCACAAGCAACATCCCTGCTATCATGGAAGCTTACGTTGCCCCCCTGAAAGAACCAGCACCCACCGTGAAGCCTTTGAGGCCCAAGTGGGGAGGTGCAGACTACTGTGTCAGATGCTGTAGGTTTGACAGGAGCTCTCTTAAACAAAGATAGTTACTTCCATAAGATTAATTTGTATTTCTTGAAATTCATAAAGTATTTCTTTGATTACTACTTATGGCAGCTTTTCAAAAAGTATAAATTAATAAAATACAAATTTATATGCTTCTTATAGCTAAGCAAGTATTCATGGCTGAGCGCCTGATGGCCGCAGGAGGAGCCTGGCACAAGGCTTGCTTCAATTGCCGAGAATGCCACAAACGTCTTGATTCACATTCTATCCGTGAGCGAGAACAGGACATCTACTGTAACCGTAAGTGACTTGCATATAATGTATTTCTTCTTGATATCACACCATGCTTATTTGTATATATTTCTCGTGTTTCAGAAACAGCATAAAACATATTATAAGTGTGTGAATCTATTTTTTAATTTTATTTTTCCTTTTTGTCACTTCCTTCCTCTCTTCCTCTCAGTATGTCTCTTCCATATTCTTTTATTTCTTACCCTTCATGATCCATTTATCGTTCTCTATCATTTCTTGGATGAAATGATAGAGAATGCTCTTTCTTCTTTTCCTTTACTGTTTCATCATGTTTTGTCTCACATTTGTTTCTTATGTCTGATTTATTTTAATTTTAGTAGATAATGTTGACTGTGACAACTACATACTATGATTTATTATTGTTATTTCTCCTATTTTCAGCCTGCTATGGGAAGAACTTTGGCCCAAAGGGATACTGGGGTTGGTCATCTGCCAAGGTGTCCTAAATGATCCAAGAAAATTCTACCAAAAGTTAGCAGCATATGCTTCAGATCTCTAATATCTCCAGAAGCTTACATTAACTATAGATACATTAGGTGTTGTCACTGTAATGTTTTGTCCTTCATGCATATAAAAAATGTGAGCATTCTTCTTTTCTTTTTTTCATGTGGAAATCATAATCATTGTAGAAGACAAAATAATTTTTGGGCATCCTATGTATTTCAGCATCAGGAGGAAACATTTCCATCTGCCATCAAGTAATGCTTTTTTTTCCATATGATTTGGTTTATTCCAATGGAAATTTTAATATTATAACAAGCACCTGTATTTTATACTTGATATATTTTATTATTTGAAAGAACAGTTAACCTGCTTCAGAGAGAAAGGACAGATAGATTCATAACGATGTGGCATTTGATCAATGAAGAATCTCTCTCTCTCTCTCTTTTTTATGGTTACAAATGCATATGTATTTGTTTAATGTATAAAAGGTAATTTCACACAGTCATTCCTCTTCCTCTTCAGATCACTTTTTATTTTTTGTATGATCAATTATAGAATGACTTCATTAAGAATTCATAACTCATTACAATATAAATTGAAC